GGGGGGGGGGGCGGGATTGGCACCGGAGTGTGGCCGCGCCCCATCAGATGTTCACCCTTCAACTGCGAGCCTGCTAGCCCTTGTCTGTAACATAGACCCCGGGAACTGCGGGAGGGGAGGGCTGGGGAGGACGTGGGATGTTATATAAATACAGATATAATTTTATTTTCGGAGGGAAGATGGTGTTATTTAATGGTGGGGATGGGTGGAGTGACCAAGGCACTGGAACAACTCCGGCCCAGGCTGGGTCAGGCGTCCATCCAAGCATGAACAGGACTTGGCCATCTTTCCGACCCCTGGGGAAGACATTTGCAACTGACTTGGGGCTGAGAGGACACAGCTTCCAGACACAGCCTCTCCTGCGGGCCAGCCCCCTGCGAAGCCCTCACCAGCCACTGGTGGGAGGAGGGAGGGTGCGCTGTGGGGTTGTTTTTGCCATAAGCGAACTTTGTGCCTGTCCTACAAGTGAAAATTGTTCAGTCCGAGAAACTGATGTTATTTGATTTATTTAAAGGCTAAAACTTGGGTTTTTTTTTTAAAGTCTTTGCACAATTGTTTCATTGTTTGACACTTAATGCACTTGTCATTTGCATATGACAGTAGCATTCTGACCACACTTGGACCCTGTAACCTCATCTACTTCTGATGTTTTTTTAAAAAATGATGATGACCTTTAAGAAATAAGGGGGGGGGGGGAAGCCCACTATTTTTTGCTTTGTCTTCTTGAAAAAAGTGGCAACACTGTTTTGGGATTTTATGTGTGCAGGTTATGCACATGATTTTGATAAAGGGCAGTAACAAGTATTGGAGCCTATTTAAAACTTTTTTCCCCCACAAGCTATGTGAAATTTTCTCTGCATCTCTGTTCAGAGAGTAAGCCTGCCCCTCTTTCCTTTCTTCCCCTTCCTTACTGCCCAGTGGTACTTCTTCTAAATTGTTGTCTTGTTTTTTATTTTTTAAATAAACTGACAAATGACAAAGTGGTGAGCTTATGATGTTTACATAAAAGTTCTATAAGCTGTGTATACAGTTTTTTATGTAAAATATTAAAAGACTATGATGATGACATTTATAAAATGGCTCCTGTGATTTAATGTGTGAAAGTATCCTTGTGAATTTGGGAAGAGGGAAGAATTCTAGGCAAGATCCTTTTTTTTTTTTTTTTTTTTTTTTTAAATTGTAGAGATGAGGTCCCGTCAGGTTGTTCAGGCTGGTCTCAAACCGGCAAACTCAGGCAATCCACTCCCCTCAGCCTCCCAAAGTGCTGGAAATACGGGCTGAGCCCCTGAGCCTGGCCTACAGTAAGATCCTTTCTTGTCACCAACTCCGTATTCCTTATTAAAGTGAATGTAGTAGATGGGGATGAAATCTCTTTGGTGGTGTGTGGGGGCTGGGTGACTAAGGGAGACCAGAGGAAGATGAGTGGGCTACCCAGACTCCCAGTGCAAACACCTCTGTCCCATTAGGTGAGACTAAAGAGTTTGATTTTATTTTTATCTGTATGTCTTAAAGAACACTTGTGTCGATGTCTACTTTGGGACTTTGCTTATTTGAAACTTGAAAAGTTGTCATTTGTGCATTTAAAACTCTGGTAGTCACTGGTGTGGGGCCAGGCTCTCTCAGAGAGGTTGTTTACTGGGTTTCTTTCAGATCATTGAGATAACTCCATGAGATTATAGATATCTTTGGGGCTGCAGCTTCTGAGTGGAAGTGGGGGAGAGTTCAGATAAGGAGTTGATTTTCTCTTTTTACTGAACTATCATCTGAATGTGTCTTTTTTTTGTTGTTTGTGTTAGAGTCTTACTCTGTCGCCCATCTGGAGTGCAGTGGCATGCTCATAGCCACTGCAGCATCTACTTGGGTTCTGGCGATCCTTCCACCTCAGCCTTCCAAGTAGCTGGAACTATAACGTGTGATACCATGCCTGCCTTATTTTTAATTTATTGTAGAGATCTCCCCAAGTTGCCTGAGCTGGTCCCGAACCTGTGTGCTCAGGCAATCCATTCGTCTTGGCCTCCCAAAGTGCTGGGATTACAGGCTGAGCCACCGAGCCCAGCCTGAATGTGTCTCTTTAAGGAACCTGGAATGCTTTATTCTAAGTACAGAGAAGGGCCATACTATGGACAGAACACTGAATGTTTTGGTGGTGGTTATTTAAAGTTGGAGCAGCCACATTTTGAGATTCGATCACGATGAGCTCTAATTACAGACACTTAGCTTTGCTGCAGTGGTTCTTGGAACCAGACAGGCTGATTTATAGTTGGAGACCACATTACAATCCTGCTGCAGGCATGATGGCTCAAGCCTGCCAGCTCTCTGCAGCTTCCAGGGAAGGTAGCTGATAGTGCCAACCCCTTCCCCCACTACCTAAGAAGCATGGTTTCTGTTTTTTGAATCAGCACTTTCTGGGTTTCTAGCGCGTAGTTGCCATCTTCACCCCCCACCTCCCTCCTTCTTTCATCCAGGGAAAAGACAGAGAAGGCCTCTTCTGAAGTTGTTTGCTTCATAGCTGGAGGCTTCTGTTTTCTAGTCTTCCCCCAGACTCCGAAGAGCTTTTGTTGAAGGAAGAAAACCTGGTTGGTGGTGACCTTTCACCCACTTAAATGCTGGCAATGACAGGGCCTCATGCTCAGCTGGGCTGGTGCATTGCCCAACAGAGGGGGATTGTTCGGGCTCCCCCAGGAGTGAAGAAAGGTTCTATCTAGACTGGCTTATTTGACAACTGCCTGGCTCCTTCCTCAGCCCCACTCACCTCCATCTCACAGCCTACTTTTTCATTTTAAAGACAAAACTTCCCATTGACAAACAGAATGTTTATTTGCAGGTTTTACAGCTAGCAAATCCTTTGGTGCCAGGGAGTGCAGGACCCTGTAGGGAAAGAGCTCAAGCTTGGGCTGAATGCCCAGGACTCAGCTTTGCAACCAGCCAAGAGCCTGGAGAAAGGGTTTTTTCTGGATTGCTTGGCCTGCTCAAAGCCGCCTGGTACCTATAGCTGTCTGTGTTTTATGTTACGAGGAGACAAACACTCAAATGACGCATGGCAGCCTGAATTATGCTTGTTTTAAAATGCATGGCATTTAATAATCCAGCCGGAACATACTCTTCTTGCTGCATTAGGATCCAACTGGAAAATATAAAGACGGATTGCTGTAGGCTGGAAAATCAATTAGGAAAAAGAGGTAAAACATCTGGTGTTACTCTTAGAATATGAAAATTCATTTTGCACATTTAAAATAAACGTGCTGAGTTCATTTAATTGCCTGTTGAACTGCTTCGTGGAAAATACCGGGAAGTTTCATTGATTCCAGGCATTTTAGAGTAAGGGGCATTGTCTTGGGTTCTCCTTTAATCTTAATCTTAAATCAATCTGAATTGTATTTCTGGGGTTTTTTTTTTTTTTTCACATGTGGTTCAATAGACTTAGAACTGTGGTTTGCAAATTCAAATGTGCATCAGATCACATGGAGACTGGTTAAAACATGGATTTATGGGCCTAGTCCCAAAGATTCTGATCCAGTAGGTCTGTGATAGGGGTTACGTATTTGATTTCTAACAAAGACCTAAGTGACATTGATGCCGCTGGTTTGGGGACGCACTGAGAACTACTGGCTTTGAATAAAGGAGAGTCCTTAACAATGCACAGAGGAGGGAGTTGGTTTCCTAAGAAAATAAATTAAATTCCACAAACTTATGGTGTTGTATCCTGCAGTCTTGACTTCCTTACCCCAGGGAGAGCAGAGCTTCCAGAGAGCTTTCCTTCTAAGGCAAACCACCCATAGCTCCTATCTTCTCTTCCTCATATTTTTGTGCAAAAAGGGGCTTAATGTCCTTCTAGAGGTTTATTTCTGCCCTTTGTGAATTCAGAATGCAATAGCACTATAATTCAATCAGCACTGGCAACTACTTTTTGAGCTCTGATGAGGTGGGTATACAAAAGCAATAAGACACAGTCCTTACCCTCCAGGAGTTCGTTCACAGCCTGGTGGACCAGACAGTTGCAGGAAGGCATCCACCAAGATCTGGAATCTAATACGCTGCAATGGAGACATCGGGCAAGGGCACAACAGGAGCTCAAGGCAGAGGTACCTACATTTGCCTGGGACACCATGGAAGGTATCATGGAGGAGGAGGCATTTGAATTCAGTTTTGTTTTTTTTTAAGAGATAGATCTTGACATATTGCCCAGGCTGGTCTCGAACTCCCGCCTCGAGTGATCCTCTCTCCTCAGCCTCCCAAAATGTTTGTATTACAGGTATGAGCTACTGTACCAGGCCTTGAACTGAATCTTAAAGCAGGAGGAGTGATGTATAAATGGAAGAAATCTTGGGGCAGGGAGGGGGATAATTGAGCCATTAGCACACCAATGATCCGTACAGCTTCTTTATGTTACTGTGGGGCTTAGCCTCTGGGGAATAAAACTCTTTTGGGTGAGAACTGCTTTCAACTTTTAGTCCCTTTAGCATGCATTTCTTTAGTCAAGAAAAATGGTATTACCCAGCCAAGCAAAACAGACTCTCCCCTTCCCTCCTCGTCTAAAACACAGAGAGCATCTATCTGGCAGTCCAGTAGAGAAGGTTGGTGATGAAGGTTTCATTGTTTCCTCTGTGCCTTCCAGGGGTGAGGTGCAGATATGAGGGCTAGCTTTGTGATCAGTGTGCTCTAGAGAAACATCCACCTTGGCTTCAAGGAGGCTATGAGACTGCAACAGAACCTTGCACCCAGCTTGTTGGGTCCTTAACCACTTTACCTGGTTCATTTTCTGATTGGAGGGAGAACCTGGGCTCTCAGACTACCCCCAACTTTCAGCAGCCCCTTTTCTGGCCTGGGAGGTAAGAGTCTGAAGAACCCCAGTTCATTCCTTCCTGTTTATTCTTTTAGTCAACAAATATTTGTTGTTGGGATACAGTGGATAGACAGACAGGCATTGTCCCTCC